AAAATGGATATATGTAAGATAAAGATACAAACATTAATTGCATTTTTAAAATACCAGCTAAACGTTATTTTAAAAACTACATGACATTTAAAATAGCAATGAAAACATATAAGACCCATGGAAATCTAATCAAAATTGTGCAGAACATGTTTGAAGAAATTATAAAACTTCATGAAAAGACATTAAAGAAGATGTAAGTTGTGAAATTTATCAGGCATACAAGTAAAAAGTTCCAATATCAGAAGATTTTAATTCTTCCTAATCTGATCTATGGATTCAATGCATTCCAGTGTAAACAAAAAAACAGAAACAAAACCAACTTCAATAGGATTTTTAGAGACACTAAAAAGTTGTTTCTAAAATGTATATCAAAGAACAAAAAAACAAGAATAGACAGTAGGGCAGGGGGATTTGCCCCACCCCACATCAATACTTATTATAAAGCTTTACTAATTATGACCTGTGGTATTGGTGTAGCTTCTGTTACAAACAGAAGAGAAAGCCTAGAGAAGACACACACACTTATTAATACTTGATATATTATAGTGATACTATTTGATAAGGTTGCTGAGACAGTTATCTATGTGGAAAAGAATAAAATCCTGTCCCTACCTCATACCATATACAAGATCATGTATATACAAGATTCAGATGGATTAAAGGCTTATATGTGAAAGGAAGAACAGTAAAGTACTTCAAAGAAAATATAGGAGAATATCTGTTTGACTTTGGAATAAGGGAAAAACTTCTTAAACCAAAAAGCACTAACATCAAAGAAAAGATTGATGTTTGCCTATATTAAAATTAAGAACTTTGGGGCGCCTGGGTGGCTCAGTTGGTTAAGCATCAGACTCATCATTTCAGCTCAGGTCATGATCTCATGAATCATGAGATGGAGCCCCTCCTCTGGTTCTACACTCAGCACAGAGTCTGCCTAAGATTCTCTCTCTCCCTCTGCTCCCCAACCCCCGCACTCACTCGAGTGCTCTCTCTCTCAAATAAGTCTTTAAAAAAATTAAGAACTTCTTTCAAATAATATGATAAAAAAGTAAAAAGACTAACCCCCCAAAAGAAAATATTTGCAATGAATATAAGCAATATATAAAAAGATCTATACATTAAAAAAAAAAGGAAAAAGAAAAACAATTAAATAGAAAAATAGGTAAATGACAGGTATTTCCCAGAGGAAAACTGAATGACCAACAAACATTTGCCCAACCTCATTAGTAACCCAGAAAAATGCAAACTAAGACCACAATGAAGTGCGATTTTTCCCTCTACTAAATTTGCAAAAGGTAAGAAGTCTGAAATACCAAGTGTTAGCAGGAATATGGATAAACATATATTTTGTACACTGCTGGTGGGAGTGCAAATTAGTCAACACCCTTTGCAAAACGATTTGGCATTATCTTGTAAAAATAGATGTTTCCATTGGCCTGCCGTCCAGCAATTGCCCTCCTAGGTACATGTCCCCGAGAAGCTTGAATGTGTGCATCATGACAGAAGTAAGAGTGATCCTGGTGGCACTGTCTATAAAAGAACAGACTGGAAACTTCTTAGTGCCTCTCTTCAGGAGAAGAGAATTAGGTGATATTCATACAATGGAATATTATGCAACAAGATGGATGAATCTTAAAAACATAGTAGTGAGTGAAAAAACAAGTTCTAGAAGACTATATATTATAAATTCATAAGTTCATTTCTATAAAACAAACAAAAAACCCACACATCAAACTAAATATATAGTTTAGAGGGATGTATTTATGGTTATATGGTAAAACTTCTACATACAAAGCAAGGGAATGATAAATGCAAAATTCACGCCAGTGTTTATCTCTGTTAAGATAGACAATGGGCTGTGACAGCAGAGAAGAATATTGATAAAAGCAGTGATTCTGGAAAATTTCTGGTCTTTGGAGAGGAGGAAAGTTTAGAGGAGTTTATTTTATTACTATGTTTCCATGTGCCAAATATTACAACTGTAACATTTAGAGGACACACTTTATAGCAAGAAAAAAAGACATATAGAAAAATAACATTCAGATACTCCTGATTATATTGTTTGAATTTTAAAAATGAAGAAAGACATTATTTTGCAATAAAAGGATATGACAAGACTAGAAGAGCCTTAAATGTAATTACTAAAAGAAAAAAGCCAATCTGAAAAGGTTGCATACTGTATGAATCCAAATATATGACATTCCAGAAAAGGCAAAACTATGGGGCCAGTAAAAAGTTCAGTGGTTGCCAGGGGCTAGAGGGGAGGGAGGGAAGAATAGGCAGGGAACAGAGGCTTTTTAGGGTAGGGAAACTATTCTGTAACTATATATAGTTATGCTATATATAAAAATATATATTATGGGCTTATAATATTATAATATTATATGGGCTATGATATTATAAGCTATATTATATATATAGCTATATTATGGGTTATAATCTTATAAGCCCATAATATATATAAAATATATGTATTTTTGAAACTATATATATATATTTGAAACTATAATGGTAGATACATGTCATTGCACATTTGTCTAAACCCATAGACTGTAAAACACTAAGAGTGAACCCTAATGTAAACTATGGACTCTGGGTCATAATAGTGTGTCTGTGCAGGTTCCTCAGTTGTAACGAATGTACCACTCAGGTGAGGCATGTTGATAAAGGGGAGGCTGTGAGCCTGTTAGGGCAGAGGGTTTATGGGAACCCTCTGTACTTCCCACTCAATTTTGCTGGGAACCTCAAACTCCTCTGAACCATAAAGTTTATTTATTTATTTATTTATTTAGTTAGTTAGTTAGTTAGTTAGTTAGTTATGTTAATCACCGTACATTCCATCATTAGTTTTTGTTGTAGTGTTCCATGATTCATTGTTTGCATATAACACCCAGTGCCCCATGCAATACGTGCCCTCCTTAATACCCATCACCGGGCCAACCCTTCCCCCCACCCCCTCTCCTCTAGAACCCTCAGTTTGTTTCTCAGAGTCCATAGTCTCTCATGGTTCGTCTCCCCCTCCAATTACCCCCCTTCAGTTTTCCCTTCCTTCCCCTAATGTCCTCCATGCTATTCCTTATGTTCCACAAATAAGTGAAACCATATGATAATTGACTTTCTCTGCTTGACTCATTGCACTTAGCATAATCCCCTCCAGTTCCACCCATGTCGATGCAAATGGTGGGTATTCATCCTTTCTGATGGCTGAGTAATATTCCATTGTATATATGAGCCACATCTTCTTTGTCCATTCGTCTGTTGAAGGGCATCTCGGCTCCTTCCATTAAAAAGAAAAAAAAAATGAAGAAAGATCCCTGAAGGAAAAAGAGGGAGAAAAGATCAAGTGGTCCTTAGACATCTCACAGCAGAACTCACTATCAGAGACAGTGCAGCAATAACTACATAGTTCTTCAAGAAAGAAAAGTTTCCCATCCAAGTCTGGCCCAGTCATATTGCCACTCAAGTTCAAAGACAAAAGGAATTCTCAAATATGAGAGAAGTCTAGAAACAGCACTCATGAGTAGGGAAAAAAAATCTGGATGCTCAAATCCAGCCAATGAGATGGAGTAAAGAATTCAGATATGGGGGTGGGGGGATGGGGCACCTGACTGGCTCAGTCAGAAGAGCATGCCACTCTTGATCTCAGGGTCGTGAGTTCGAGCCCCACATGGGGTGTAGAGATTACCTAAATAAATAAAACTTAAAAAAAATAAAGAATTCAGGTATCGGGAAGTCATTGTAAAGAGCACGGAATCCATTTAATATGGAATTAAGAATAATAATAATGGGAAGACTATGGTCACGAAACAGAAAATTACTGTTATAAGCTCTGACCACCCTCCCCACCACCCCCAACAACCAACTGAAAATGAATGGGAGAGGGGAGCAGCACTGATGGGCCCCCTATTTCCTAGCAGGGCACTGTCAGCAATGAATTAGCTACACACACATACACACCAACGTCTTAGTGGTCTTCATAATGTGACTTTTAACTTAAAAGGATTTTTTTTTAAAGATTTTATTTATTTATTTGAGACAGAGAGGATAAGAGACAGAGAGCATGAGAGGGAGGAGGGTCAGAGGGAGAAGCAGACTCCCCGCCGAGCAGGGAGCCCAATGCGGGACTCGATCCCGGGACTCCAGGATCATGACCTGAGCCGAAAGCAGTCGCTTAACCGACTGAGCCACCCAGGCGCCCTAACTTAAAAGGATTTTTAAGAAATCAATGCCTAGAGTAGTGAAGAAAGATTTTTTTTTTTGTAAAAATTAACAATTCTTTCTGTCTTACCTCATAATTCTTTTTATTCTGATGAGTCAAGGAAAATGAATCACTTTTCATTTTCAAAACTCCATGTATAGCCTTATCCCATTTTTATCAACCAATTTCTTTTCCTCTCTCTTCTTATACATTTTCTGTGATTTCTTCTGTCTCTGTAGATGTTTACACAGGAACACTGGTTATTTGTGGTGTTGGTATTCGAAGGGATCTGTTGCTTTCTTTTTTATACTTTTCTGTGTTGTTTGAATTATTTATGGTATAGGTTTCATTTTTTAATATGACATTGAAGTAATTACTTGATTATAATTTGTTTTTGCTAGGGTGCCTGGGTGGCTCAGTCATTAAGCATCTGCCTTCGGCTCAGGTCATGATCCCAGGGTCCTGGGATTGAGTCCCACATCGGGCTCCCTGCTCGGTGGGGAGTCTGCTTCTCCCTCTCCCTCTGCCTCTTGTGTGCTCTCTCTCTCCTCCTCTGTCAAATAAATAAATAAATCTTAATAATAATAATTTGTTTTTGCTAAATGGAACAGTGAGACATTTGAGGATTTTTCACTACAGTGGAATAATTTAGGGTTGTAGTAATATGTAAAATTGCAGTATCCTTGAAAGAAAGAACTGTGTCTGCATTACATTTATATCCCTCTTAACACCATGCACAGAGCAAATATTCAATAAATGTTTCTTAAATACAATTTTACATTTTTCTCTATTTTTCCTTTAGATCTGAGAATAGCCAGAGAGAAAACACCCCAAGAAATCATCATGTAAACACTCTTCTGAGGAGATGCTCTTTGAAGGTCATTTGTTGTGTCTCCTCAAAGCATGGCTTCAATTTGTCCACAGGTAAATGCTACACCCTGAATAGTCACCTTTTAGATCTACATGCAAACAATTATTTTATTTATTTGTTCATTAATTGATTCAGCAAATATTCACTGAGAACCTACTATGTATAAGTACCCTCCTGTGTTATGCATATAACAATGAGTCAAAGGATGGCTTTACCCTCAGAGAGCTTACATTTTCGTAAGAGGAGATGGACAAGAAGTAAATCGACAAGTGCATAACCTCTCCTATGGTGATAATGCTATGAAAAAATAAAGAGGAGAAAAATGACAAGGTAGGGGATGTAGGGTGGTCCCAGAAGGCCTCTCTGATAAGGTGACATTTGGCCAGAGACATGAGTGACCTAGAGGAGTAAGGCATGCAGATGTCTTGATGAGGATCCTTCCAGACAAAGATTGGTCAAATGCAGAGTATAAGGCTTGATCACAGGTGCTGGCCTGAGCAACAGAATGAATGGAGGTACTGATCAGTGAGATAAAGACAGGTTTGGCTAGATGGGTGGGACAGGGGTGTATGGGGAGGGAGGAGTTTGGTTTTAGATGTATTTAGTTTGAGATGCCCTTTGGCCATCCAAATGGAAGGGGTGAGTAAACGATTGGGTAGATGAGGCTGGAAGCCAAAGTACATGTTGAGTCGTATGGGACTGAAGGTCAAAGCATGTGTATAATTAAATTAAAAATACGTACAAAGTCGAATATAAGAGTCACCTTCATGCAACATAGATTAAAGTAATAGCAAATGTTGCTCCCTAACAAATCACCCGCTGATTTTGAAATACCATACGAATTGCCAGAGCAGTTTTCTAAGAAATGGACTCTTTCAATTTGTGTTCAGAGCTGTGCTGTGGTGGTTTTTCTGCCCATCATTTGAACCAGCACAGCAGGGGCTTGTCAACAAGGCTCCATTGAATGGAGGTAAGATCCTTTGCCTCGCTGAATGCCATGCTTGATGATCTGGTTTTGTACAGTGTCCTGGTGCACTCACCGGTTTCCAGGCAGAAAGGCTGTTCAGGGTGAAGAACCACTGCATCATGGGAGCCAGGCTTTGACAAGCAGGTTGCCTCCCGCAGTGGACTTTCAATGGAGTGAGCACACCAACAAGGAAATTCTGCCAATTAGTGAATGATGGTGGGCTGCTGGGCAAGTCACACCAGGCAGGACCCAGGAGCCGTTTCACCTACACACCTGAACGTTCTATTCTCTCTTCCCTTTGCCTCATATTCCTCAAATGCCAGTGTTTCATGTTGAACTTAGTTTCTAGAAGCGCCCCCCCAACCCCACCCCAAGCCCCAGCAAGACCTTCCCCCTACTCTCTTCCTTCAGTTTAGCTCACACTGAGGTTGGGGGATCAATGAATCTCAGTTAGGCTCAGCATTGTAGAACCTGGCTCAAATCTGCTTCTAACAGCTGCTCAAACTTGTGATCTTGTGGATGCCCAAGCAACATGGCACACTGAAATCAGAGTATGGAATAGTCTAACTCTTCCTAATTAGAAAATGAGCATCATTTGCACACGTCTCATAAAGATCCAGGGATATATGTCTCACAAAATTGTCATCACAATCCAGGATGTGTAAGTAGAGGAGATAAATGATAAGTAGACATTACTCATTTGGAATTGAGAAGCTATACCTCTGTCCCACATGCAGAATTTGTAAGTAAAACCCAAGTGTAAACTGAGGTATGAAAATCTCAAAGTCAACTCAAATTCAGTCCCCTCTCCCCATTCCATGGCCAGTGGCAGTCCCAAGTCTTCCCCCAGGATTTCATGAAATCTTCGATTCCTCCTGGTTCCCTTTAGCTCTTATACCTGCACCCTCTGGTGCTCTCTTTCCCCTCATATCCACTCATACTCCCCAACTGACACTTTTCTCTGGTTTTCACCAAAAAGGACTCACTCCCACAAAGCTTCCGGTGGGTTTGGTAGCTTTCCTAGAGAGTTCAAAGGGAGCAGGGTGGGGGGACGGGGGGGATGGTACACTACACGCTTTTGGTCATCTTACCAGCTTTATCTCTCCTCTCTTTCCCTCCTTCACCTCGAAGGCCATACTCAGTCTTTACTGTGGTCATAGCAAGGTCGGGCTCTCACAGAAAGCGTGGCCTCTCCAGACTGTCAGTACCTCCACTTAACACAACATAGAACATGTTTACCTTGTACTTTCTTTGAGTCACAGTGAACTCTCCAATACCCACGGTTCACCGGGATTTTGTGCTCATGGGTATTACCATCATCACATGCAAATAGGGCCCAAGGGAGCACAGACACACATATTACACAAATATGTGTTCTCTTGTCTTCCTGGACCTTACTGACAAAGCACAAGTTCAAAGACATTAAGTGATTAAGAGTTTCAAGACAGCTTTAGCAGCATACCAACTAAGTATGTGAACCCCTTCTGAGTGAGGTGTCCTCTGTGATTTCACAAATTGCAGGCCCATGAAGCAGACTCTGGAAGGGGATCTTCCCGTCTGAGCCAAGCCCCTTGAATTTCTGCAGCCCTGGCTGAGATCTAACAGAACCCTATGGGACATCAAACTGGAAATACTCAACCACGCCCCTCCCAAGTGTCTGACCCACAGGGACTCTGAGAGATAATAAATATTTATTATGGAGGAACAAATAACTGATATATAAGTCTCAGTAAGATGCAAACTCATAGATTCTAATTTGGGGTCAGGCCCTAGCCCTGAAGTATGCAATTTTAACCATAATCCCAACCATCGGGAAAGAGCACATCAAAACCACAATGAGATACCACTTCACACCTACTTGGCTGGCAGTATTGAAAAAGACGCTAATAACAAGTGTTGGCAAGAATGTGGAGGAATCAGAATCTTCACAGACTGCTGGTGGGAAGGTAAAATGGTGCAGCCACTTTGGAAACACTCTGGAAGTCCATCAAAGGGTTACATGTAGAGTTATGCAAGAGGAGCCAGCAAGTCCCTTCCTAGATATGTACCCAAGAGAATTGAAAGTAATGTCCACAAAAAATCTTGTACATAAATGTTCACAGCAGCATTACTATTCATAAAAGGCCCCAAGTGAAAACAACCCAAATGTCTATCAACTGATGAATGGATAAAAGATTCGATAGATCTAAACAATGGAATATTATTTGGCAATTAGAAGAAATGCAGGGGCGCCTGGCTGGCTCAGTCGGTAGACTCTTGATCAGAGTTGTGAGTTCGAGCCCCATCCTCAGCATAGAGTTTACTTGAAAAAAAAAAAAAGAAAGAAAGAAATGCATTACTGATATATGCAGCAACATAGATCAACCTTGAAAACAATGCACTAAGTGAAAGAACTTGGTGAACAAAAGACCACATATTTTATGACTCCGGTTATATAAAATGTCCCAAATAAGCAAAATCATACAGACAGAAAGTAGATTAGTAGTAGTTGTTGCTTGGAGTTGAGGAGATTGGAGAGTGATCCTAGTGGGTAGGGGTTTTCTATTAGGAATGATGAAAATGTTGCAGAATTGATTGTATGCTGGTGTGTAACTCTGAAGATGATAAGAATTACTGAGTTGTGCTCCTTAAAGAGCTAAAACGAGGGGCTCCTGGGTGGCTCAGTCCTTAAGTGTCGCCTTCAGCTCAGGTCATGATCCCAGGATCCTGGGATCAAGCCCCACCTTGGCCTCCCTGCTCAGCGGGGAGTCTGCTTCTCCCTCTCCCACTCCCCCTGCATGTGTTCCCTCTCTTGCTGTCTCTCTGTCATAATAAATAGATAAAATCTTAAAAAAAAAAAAAAGAGCTAAAACGCATGGTATGGGGATTACATTTCAATAAATCAGTTATCTAAGATAATAATCCCCAGATAATTCTAATGTCATCAGTCCAATTTTTACCCTTGAGAAGTGCCACTTTTAAAGGTGATATTCATTTAAAACAAAAAAGCTTACCTGTAAGGGTAATTTTCTCATGTTTACCGCTCACACCTTTCTGAAACATGAAACAAGTGAGGAAAAACTTGGGATATGACAGATCTTTACCTTCGGTCTGAAATGGCTTTTAAAACATCCGGCTTTCTTGGTGGAGAAGAAAAATAAGGATAGTAGCAGTAAGGATTGAAATGAACTCTTGAGAAGAGAACAAGGGTGTCAGAAACAGAAAAGCATCAATAGCTCCTCTTCAGAGGCTGTAAAGAGGAACTTTAATTTCTCCATGAAGTGGCTTTTTTACTTGTTCTTAAGAGGCCCTGGCCAGGCCTGGCCTCCGAGAGTGTCATTCATCTTGCTTTCTCTCTGAGGTTAGCTCGAGTCTCTTCTTGTAGCTGGGACAGGATGACAAAAACCAGAATGCACCTTGTAATTTCCGTGAAAGCAGTTTTTATTCTGATTTCGTGTCTTTGATGCCTAGCATTGTGCCTTTTCTCTGCAGAGCTTGCAGACACAGTAATTATTTAATTGCGCCTGCTCTATTTGTCACAGGCAGGGTTTGAGCCCTGTGGGAGCTGAACTTGAACCCGCACAGAGAGAAAAGCAAGAGGCTCTCTGCTCCCAAGATCTTCCCTCTTGATGGGTGCATAATCCTCGCTTTCTCTTACAAAATGGGGAAGATCAAGCCATTGCTCCATTTCTACTCTCTCTTCCTTAACCATAAGAGCTGAACTGTTAAAAAAAAAAAAAAAAAGTACCATCTTTTAAAAAACATCTGACTTCTAAAAAAGATTTTTGACTTCTATACAATGTATAGAAACACTTGAATATATGTCTGTGTGTGCATATATATATATTTCTCCTATAACTCATAAATTTAGAATGGGATAATTTGTTGGAACTTCAAAGATTCCTTTTTAAGCATCTAAGGTGACCCTGAGCACCAACTAGGGAGGGACCGGGCAATATTTATGTTAGCACTAAGCCAGACTGTGGCATATTGCCTGGAACATGGCTTATGCTCAATAAGTGCTGGAGTTTACAGAATTACCTTGGGAGTTCCCTATTTCTCCTTTGGCACCTCTCTCTTTGCTCCCATCCGTCCCAAATCACTCTT